AAATTGATATATTTATCATTACCTTATCAATATTTAAATATTTGGCCCAAATAAAATATAATTCAATATATATACACTTTAGTCCATCACTCCCCAAAATATTAAAACGTAGCACGTAGAATAAATAAATTCTATTTATAAAAAAAATTTGGTACTTAACAATCTCGATTCCTTAAAATATTTTCGTCCTCGAAAATTACATGTCACATACAAGCACTAAGTCTAACACCTTATATCTACTTTATCGTAATACATATCATGAATTTAGAGAAAGAAGAGAAATGCACGTCCTTTAAGAAAATAGGCAATCTAAAGAGTGTAAATTTAGCTATATAAAAAGAAATCTTTTCCATTCATCTTGACCGTTCTAGTCATCACTTGGTATTAAGCATATTGTCTAATGGAGTAGTAACTTCTAGAACACTAACGACTTCTTCACAAACAGTACGATATTTAGTAATAATATAGGTAATGATTGAGCGGCTTCAAAGTATATAAGAACATAAGCAAGTATTTTAGAAACTGATAGAATACCTACCATCATATCTTAATCCTCAGTTGTCTCCTGTTGGGTTAAGGCAAACACTCTGGCTGTCTCCTTTTTGCTTTGCTCATTGTCCCGCTTTGGTGAAGGTTCATGGCAATTGATAGCAATATGGCCATGTTTTCCACAACGATAGCACACATTCTTTCCATACCAGCACTCGCCTCTATGGGACCTACTGCACTTAGGGCATGGAGAAAGAACATTATTCGGCTTGCTTGATCCAGACCACTTTTCAAAGCTAGCCATTTTGTCTTGTTCATTTCCTTTACGATCGTTTAGACCATTTCATTTCCTTTTTCCTAAAAATTCACTACTTTCTTGAACTATCCGATCAATTTCCAGTCTATTTGATATTGCCTGAGCTCGTTGCAGAACCTGGCTGTACGTGGAGAATTCATGCGATGCCAAGATTCCTCCAATATCAGGGCGTAATCCGAGTTCGAACCTTCTAGCTTTCTTCTGCTCCGTATCCACCAGATGTGTCGCATACCTAGAAAGTTGTTCAAACTTCCGCTCATAATCAACCAATGTCATCCTTCCTTGCTTAAGTTGTAGGAATTCTATCTCCTCATGATCTCTCAAGGCTTGTGGGAAATATTTTCCCATAACCTCCCCTTTGAAACCTGCCCAAGTGAGGTCGCGTTGTTGTGCCTCAGTCCTAGTACGTGAGACGAACTCCCACCAGTATCCCGCTACATCGATTAGCATGAACTCCGCACATAAAACGTGCTAAGTGCGCGAAACGGACTCCCACCAGTGGCCCGCTGCATCGATTTGCATGTACTCCGCACATAAAACTTTTTGGGTATCATTGCAGGAGAGTTGTTTGATGATACGTTCTAAACCCCTTATCCATTCCTCGGTTGCCAAAGGGTCAGCCATCCCGTTAAAGGTAGGGGGCTTGTGACGACGAAACTGTTCCACAACTGAGCTCGTGAAGTTGGAGTTATTCTGTGCATTTTAGGGAGACGCTTGTGTTTGTTGCCTTCCAAGGTCTTGCACAGCTCTCAACAAATCCTTAAACATATCTGCTTGTGTCGATTGACATGACATTTCCTTTAAATCCACCAAATAAATTTCATCTTAGAAGAGTTAACATCTCAATATATTCGAATTAAAAACTCAGTTTCATACAAGTTTAAGTCCAGGAATACATGAGGAACGATTAAATTGTAGGTGATGAAGTAACCTACGGATTATTCTAAGTACTGAATACAATATTTTGAGAAATGGAAACATTTATTTTTAACTAAACCATCTATAGGTTGTTAGTCTTCATCTTCACTTGTCCAATCATTTTGAATCCTACGTAGTTTAGATGGAGGGGCTTCATCGTCTGACGATATGCATGACTCGGGCTCAAATTCCTGGTCATCTCCTAGCTCAAGGTCTAGCTCGAACACTGGCTCGTGCTCTGCCTCTAGCTCTGGTCCTGGTACATACTCTGGCTCGTCCCTTAGCTCCGAATTAGATTCATAATACGGCTCCTTCCCTAGGTCTTCCTCTGGTTCAAGTTCAGCTTCGAGAGTATAAATCCACCTATCTAGGAAGGTTTCATAGTACAGCTCGAATTCAATCATTTCTGGGTACTCCGAAGGGTTACCCTCTAGTATTTCGTCCCTAACCACAATGCCCATGTCTCCCCATTGAGGTGGCAGTGTATGGATAAGATTATTAACAGCTTGAAGGGGTGCAACCTCATGTCCTACGCCCCTTGCCACAGCCCACCTAGCGAAGACTTCCTTCACATGTTCAATAAGTTTGTGAATTGAGTTTCTCTCGTAATTCTCGTAGGCTTGGATAACCGTTGCCCTATGGATTAGAACAACCCTACTAGCCGTTGTCTTCCTAGCGGTCTCTACAATTCTAACCATGTCTGTCACATACAAGCAAAGTCCAATTATGCTTAATATCTTATTAATGATAACACTTTGTCGTTTACGCTCGTATAATTCATGATGAAGTAAAATGTTATATTTCTATCGAAGTTGACTAAAATTGTGCGAGAAAATAATTCATAAATGGAAGCAAATATATTGTGCTCAAAATTTATGCTAGAATATAGCATTTCATTTCATTTCAAGCATTTCTTGAATTAAATATGAGAACGTAATGCTCAAAGCAAACATTTTACGTACCTTCGGTCCGTCAGATGGTAGTTGATTGGTGAAGGTTAGGTGCCAAGAACCTTGTTCAAATTCATGTGTGTTAACTAAAATGTTTATAATAGTGTCTTATCATATAGTTTTAAAATCCCTTTTTTTTTTTTGGCCCTTGTCTTGATGATTCGAATAACACGCAACTAAAAGACTTCCAGGAAAGAAGGGGGGTCACTTGGACCACTTAAATCCCAAGCCTTAGACAGTTTAGGTCTTTTTGACAAAGCCATTCAATCTTGCGAATATACAAATCGAGAAAACTCCAGCAAAAAAAAAAATAGAAACTAAATTGTCCTTTGGAATAAATTTGCTGAAAACATTTTTTTTTTTTCAATTTGATGTAGCACAATTAAAAATTCATATAAGTACATAACTTTATTAAATAAAAGCTCATTGCGTAATTCAAATTATAGGACAAATAAATCTTTGGTTGAAATAAGACCATATCTATAATATTTAAGTCCTAGTTAAGAAAATCATAAATTGTAAAGCTTCTGATATTTAATAACATGTTATTCGAAAATAGAAATTTGAAATTGGTAACTTACTACCCAAAAATAATAAATAAATAAAAGTCAACTCCTATGTTGGAGAAAATAATTTTTTTCTATACTATCTTTCAAAATAGTTTGGCAGAAAGCTTACATGTACAAAGTACAGTTATCGCATATCATATTTACGAGTAACAAATAATACAAATCATACGTGGTAACCATATCTTTTAATTGAAAATGAGGTTTAAGCTTTAAGGGACTAAGTTAAACATTCATAACTTTTTTACTCAAAATGTACGTTAATGAAGTAACCAATCTAATATAGACACAGAAGGCATGCACATTATAACTAATCTTAGCATGCTATATACTCCCCTTATGTATCATTTCTAATTATATTTAATCAATGGGTATATACATCTTATGTCGAGAACAAACTTATTTGATATATCATGTAATTAAAATTAAGGACTAATGAGATAACTATTACTCGAAAGTGGTTTTTTTATTCTTCGTCACTGTTCATCCGTGAACAGTGACAAAAAAATCTTTTTAAAAGAAAAGTCTACAGAAAAGTAAATCATGCTCTGATACCATACTGTAACGCCCCAAATTTTATCAACTTAAACTTTGGGATGTCACCGATATCATTTCATAATGCGGAATTATTTAAGTAAAACTTTGAAACTTAATTTTATTTGAAGTATCAAATACCATTTTAAATAAACACTTAAGTATTGAATCAAACATAATGTCAAGAAATCTAAACATTTAACATAATTGAAGAAAACACAATATCGTAACATAATCTATTGTAAGATATTTTTCCTTGAAAATTTATTACTTGACAACCCGCACACCGCACAGCCACTATCCACGTTGACCGATCGAACCTGAAAATATTAAATTTTGAAGGAATGAGTAATTTGATTCAGTAGGATACGTGCGTCCAAAACAATACAATAACTCTTAAAACATAAATTTATAACATTTCATACTATTATTTCATCAAGAGCAATCGGAGATTAATCGAAAGCTCTAACCTTTGAGAAAACCCGAAGGAGATCTCACATTTCATTTCATTTCATCAAGACCCTCAAGTCAGTTAGCATTCCATGAGATAAATTATGTAAAAGAAATTATAATATTGCAAGAACATAGTATCCTACCTCGTTTGATAACAGAGTTGTTGGAAGAAAGTAAGAATTTCACGTTCCCAAAACCTTTGCTCTCTTGCCGTGTCAATATGTGCGCAGTGTGTTCCACCCCAAAATCCATCTATAATATTTATACTATATTCTACACGTTTTCTCCAAAGAAGGCTAAATTTGTTGTTTTCCTTTTAAATTATACAAGGGTATGAAAATTCGGCAATTTTCTAGATTCCGAGTCGAGGAGAGTTGGCAAATTGATAGTAAAAGGTCATGATTGCCATAATTCATGTCAACAGATTTGTCCAAAATATATTGTATAATAAATCATTCAACTTTAAAAAGGAAGCTACTTTATCTTCCCATCAATCAAGTCATAGCCATATAAGAAAATACTCATAAATTTCAACTAGTAATACGTGGCAAGATTGGAAGGGTTTCAAACCAAACAAACATATAAAATTTTGATTTCAACAAAAAGTGGTCTTCCAAAAAAAAGGACGTCAGTTTAGCTAGTTCCCTAAATTGTATATTTCCAATTAATACATGCACAATTAAATTTTCAATTTGCTAAAACAAATATGGTAAATAAAAGAAACAAATTTTGATTACTGTGAATCTTAAAATCAATTAACTTATTTGATAGGATAAAGATGAATAAATTGCATTATATAATACTACTATACAATACACGTGGTCACACACCATATTAAACAAAATCCATTAATAACCACTTCTATAAATTGTAATATTTTAGGTCTAACTTATCCGATTAAACCTTTTTCCCGAGCCCAATATGCACGACTAATTTCGAGCTATCCAACGAGTCCAAAATTGATATATTTATGACCTTATCAATATTTAAATATTTGGCCCAAATAAAATATAATTCAATATATATACACTTTAGTCCATCACTCCCCAAAATATTAAAACGTAGCACATAGAATAAATAAATTCTATTTATAAAAAAAAAAAAAATTTGGGACTTTACATAAAGTGGTTGTGTTTTCATAATATGAACTTGGTTCGTCAACCTAAGTTCATAATTAATTAAACAGATATTATCAGTAGAACAAATTAAAAACATTCATAATGCATATCATGACTTTATAATAACGATCTCACAAGAACAAGTTCAAGTTAGCAAAAAAATTTCACATCACTTAAATCACAATTTATTTATCATCGACAACTTTAATACTCATCAATTAATCAGTAAAGCTATCCAACTAACACAAACACACAACTAAAAAGTTTTTTTTTTTTTCATTTAGTCGGCAAGGCTATCCAAATTTTCAATTTTATTTTATTTTTTATTAGTAATCACACAAACATGCAAATACACTAATGATGTAGTTAAACCCCAAGCTTAAAATAAACATCGTCGTCAATGTGTGTGCAAAATAGGCTTAACAAAAGGTTAATAATATTCGACGTGTACATGAAGATGTTTCTTTTTAGCACTTGATTTGTATCTCCATTTCCTTTCTTTTTGACTTTTTCAAATTATACTCATGATGCCTGAAACAAAAAGGGAGATTAATCACTAATAAAATCAGGAGTGAAGACTAATCCTATATAAATTAAGAATATGGGAATGGAAGGAAAGTTAGCCTTATTACTAGGATACTACCTTGTAACTAACTTACTAGAAAATAATAATTCCAATTTGCCTTATTACTAATGCAATCCTAACTCACCACATAACATATAATTGCTTAAAGTATAACAAATAGAGGACAAAAAATGGATTACCTCTTCATAAGCGCTTATTTATCTTCATAGCCCAATTTTTGCAATGATGTGTCGTAGGACTTTAAAGAAAGTTTTTAATGCCTTGCTTAGTTTGTTCTATTGACTTTGTTGAAATTTCCATTGATTCTCCAAACATCTAACTTGGCACTTTCAATGTAACATGACTTGTGTATTCCATTCAATTCACGCTCAACTATGCAGACTTTCACCTACTCATCGTGCTTAATCATAAAATCAATAAAGTTAGAGGAATACATGGTAATTCTGACTTCATTTAATGCTACTTCGTTTGGTTTCACTATGACTATTTATTCTTTCTTTGCACTCGTCTTCATAAGTTGTTATCTCCATAGGTAGAATGACTGGTCCATGGTCAAAATCTTCGGGCAATTGCAAGTTATCCTTATCAAATTTTGCAAATACATCACATCCCTAATTTTTAAATTCATGCCAGTAGGCGACATCTCCTAAAGGCATGTCGTCTTCATTCAACTTGACAAGTTTATTATAATATTTTGCAAGTGCATTCTCACTCAATATGGGAAAACCATCTCCCACAAGCATGACGTCCTCATCCAACTCGACAGTCACGCCATTTCTCAATTGTTTTAAGGGGAGGCCATTTTCCACAAGTATGTCGTCTCGCCAAATTTGGAAAGTGTTTGTTTTCGACTTCTTAAATATTATCTATACCGGAGAAATTTCAACACGTCAAAATCAAAGGCCAAAACATGTAGTTCCGAGTATAATGCTTACACCCACAAATATCCAAGTCAGATCTCCTACAAGCATATCTTCATTGTTCATGTCGAGATTAATCATTACAAAATTTTGCTAATTTTTTTATTTCTCTTCATTCTTTGTCAAAGAAACCAAGAAAAATGAGTAAAGCAACTAAAAAAAATCAACTAAATTGAGAATTAATTAAATAACTTAATCCTTTGACAATGGCGTCAAAAATGTGTTGTCGATTATATTTACGCAAGTGTATAAATCGTGAATAAGTAATAAAGTGAAC